GGGGGGGGGGTTGATTATTTGGGGATGTAACTTGTACCTTACCCATGCGACCGAACAAACTGTGACTTGAATGCAGGGAGAGCTATAAGTTTCAGGCTCATATTCTTACAAGAAACCTGCAGGAGTTCAGAATTGGGTGTCTTAGCCTCCTTTATAAACACTAGCTTTCCATTTCTGCTTGTTTCTACCTCACCTCCCAATGCAGTGACATGGTGGAAGTCTAGTGCCTTAAGCAGACAGACTTTAGGAAGTGTCCAGCTTGACACGCATCAAGCCTAGTTGTGCAGAGGTGCTGAGCCCTGGTGACCTTCTGGTGGGATCTCTGGGTGCCCACTACCCCTGAAACCTAGGTCCAGCACTGTCTCATGCTGGGTGATCCAAAGTGATGGCTGCTTCTGGAAGCAATAGCCTTAAGCACCATTGGCACAGATAAAGATCCTCAACTCCTGACCAGGATCTAGGCAACAATGTGGAAACTCACACAGATTTGGTTTCCTTCTTGCATGCTCAGCTGGGTCCGCTGATTGTTGTTATTGGCATCTGCTTGGACCTGCTGCATCACGGGGTCTTGACAAGTTTACGGCACTTTTTTTTTTTTTTTTTTTTGAACTGGTTCCTTTTGTAGGTCTAAAATAAGTAAAAGAATGCATCACTTTTCACCCTCGAGTTTTTGCCTTGAGGCCAGATCACTGTGCGTCTAACCCACCTCTCTCTTTTGTTTTAGTTCTACATTTTTGTGTGTCTTTCTGTTGTCGACGTCGGGGGGGAGGGGGGCCGATTTAAGCACACAGCCGCGTGCGCACACATGAGAACTAATGCATTTTGATTTCCATTCATTTCAAAGTGATCTGTTTTTGGAAATGTTCTGTTTTTGTTTTGTGTGTCTGTTTTTTCTTGCAGCTTCTGAAGTCTCCCCATAGTCGGTTGTTCCATCACATCCCTAGTGCCTGAATTTGATCCATGTGGCCATCCTAGTTCTCCATAGCTTCTCTCTCATTTTGTTGTTTAGTTTTTTTGTTCTGTAGTCTTGTGATGTTGTGGCATTTTTGTCCTTTTTTTTTTTTTTTCTCCTCCCCCTCCTTCCTCCTGAAGAGGTTGATCTCTCGTGGCCGCCTCTAACCTCTCTTCTGTTTGTTCCCACACCCTCCCTCCTAACAGATCAAAGTGGTGAATGCGTTCCGTAGCTCCTTGTACGAAGGCCTTGAGAAACCTGAATCCAGAAGCTCCATTCATAACTTCATGACTCACCCAGAGTTCATCCGGGAGGAATACGAGTCTCAAACCCCATTGGAATACGAGTCTCAAACCCACGATGACGCTGCAGATGACCCCGGGATTGACGGACTCTAAAAGTGAGGTGGGGGTAACCCAGGCGGATCCTTATCCCTGAACAAAAAATAACAATGCAGTGGACCGCGATCTAGCCCGGGTCCCCGTCCCGGAGTCTGAAAGCCCCTGACACAGCTTGGAGACATCGGTTTGACCTTTGAACTTTGATTCCCCCCCCCCTCCACCTTTTGCTCCACACCTGTGATGTCGGCACTAATAACTGATCTCGCACTGCGGTCACATCATGTCAACTGCTCATGCGTATATAATTTTGTTTTCTTTTGATGATGATTTAGTGGCAGGAACTGGAGTAGCACATTGGGGGGGCGATGGGATTAAGGAAAAATTGTGAGGATGTGTTGTCACCCCCAGCGGCACTCACCCAAGTGAAAAACAGCCAAGCCAATATTTCTTCTCCTTGAGTTGGTTTCCGGGTGTCATTGGGGGGGGTGTCCATTTTGAAACAATGCATGTTCAAAGAAAAGGTTGAATTGTCTTACAGAGTCTTACGTGTGCACTCAGTAGTCCAGTATCAAGGGTGCCGTTGTGATTTTTCTTTTTTCTTTTGCTTGTGGAATTTTACCCCTGGATAAATCCACATGTGAGGAAAAAGCACGAAAGTGCAGGTTTAAAAATTATATGGCAAAAACCTTAAAAAAAAAAAAAAAGAAAAGGAGAGGGAAGGAGTTGTGGGGGGAAATGCTGATATTGCCCACAGAGACTCTGATGGTTACAGTTATTAAAAAAAAAAAAAAAAAAAAAAAAAAAAAAAAAGGGGGGGGAAGGGGTTGGGGGGGGAAAAGGTTAAATTGCCCCAAAAAACCCTGATGGTTAAAGTTTTTAAAAAAAAAAAAAAAAAAAAAAAGAAAAGAAAGTCTTCCACCTTGGGGAAAAAATGGTACCTAACCTATACACTATTTTTGTTTTTTGTGCGCCTCTCTCTCTCTCTCTTTTTTTCTGTCTCCGAAGTAGTAATTGTCATAAAAACATGGGATGAAGGACATTTTAAGAGTCTTAAGTGTATTGGATTTGATGAAAATGCCCCTGTTTTTTTGTCACAAAGCACCACGGAAGATGCCACCACCAGTCGGAGTGCCACGACTGGAAAGAGCAGGTCTCCTCTTCTTACGGATCTCCATAGAAGCATCTTTTTTTCGTTGCTCTGAACCGTTTGAAATCGGACGGCAGGTTTTCGATGGTTGGTGGGAGTTGTGCATAACTTCACAGCTGACTATTTCTGAACCACTTCTGTAAGCGGAGGTGATTTTAAAGCAGGTTTTTGGATTGTCTATACCATCTGGTTAAATATTTCTTTGGCCTGGGAGTGAGAGTACCAGCAGTGGCTGGTTGTGTTTTAATCCCAGAAGATGCACCGTGTGTACACCAGGACCCATCTGTTCTGTTCAAAGTGGTGGCAGTCTGAATGTGTATTGAATGCCAGCTTACCCGATGGTATAGTTGGGCCTTGATAAGGCTTCCAATCCCTGCCACCCTTGTAGGGCTTTGTGGGTTCCTTAGGACAGAGAGAAGAGAGATAAGTGGAGAAGAGGGTGTGTTTGTACCTGCTATTTCTTCAGCATGCTGTTCAGGTGGAACGTGAACCCCACAAATTGAACTGTCTGGTGTCTCACGAGGGCTGGGTGATGCTGTCTGCCGGCCAGTGTGCCCTGCTATTGCATACCTGTCTTAATGAGGAAAGAATGGGCAAAGGCACCTCCTTCACTTGAACTTCCAGAGGAGGCTTCATAGCTAGGCTTAATCCCATTCCCCTCTGCTCTCCCTGACTGGGACGGTCTTCTCTTTTCCATGGATTCTCGTTTGCCTCCCTTTTTATTTTATTTTATTTTTTTTTAGTTACTATAACCTGATGTGAGAAATCATGGTTCATGAAGACAGTCCTAGCTGGCGCGATTGTCTCTGGAGAAAACTACCCCTGGGTGTCCTGTGCTGCTGCTGCTGCTGCTTATTATTATTATTATTGTATCCCTCCATTTTTTAGGTTAGTTTCCTGGAATTGAGGTCTGGGCTTCAGCTTTTGTCCACCCGGGAAGTTACCCAGTGAAGTTATTTGAGCAGTTATTCTCATGA